TGGAAGGAGTTAATATTCAGAGCTGCTAAGGCAGTGGTTCTCAACCTGTGAGTCCCCGGGGTTTTTTGGTTTACAACTCCCAGAAATCCCAACCAGTTTACCAGCTGTTAGGATTTCTGGGAGTTGAAGGCCAAAACATCTCAGGACCCACAAGTTGAGAACCACGGTCCTAAGGCAATAACAAATGTGGTCCTTGAACACATGCAGTTATTTCCCCAAAGACAGATTTGAACCCGAGCCCTATCTTCATATTTGAACACTTTGAACAAAAGATAGGGAAGGCAGCAATAGAGATGTGAAGAAACGCAGAGTTTTAAACAATAAGCTAAAACAGCATCCGCTATCACAAACTAGTAGACAGTGCTCTAAACTGATCAATCACTATTTCCATATATACGAAGTAAAATTCAAAGGGGGAAAAAAAGGAATTTACAAGAACTTAAATAAGCAGAAAATAAATATACACAATTTCTACAAGTTACAGCATGATGAAACAGTAGAGTGCATTAATTACAAAGAGGAGAAGTCTACAGTATTTAACAAGGTAAATTCTACAAAAAAAGGGGGGTTTAGAGAAATGTACTTCCGCTATACAAAAATCTTACATGATGTAGTTAGAAAAGAGGGAACATTGCACACAGGTAACATTTGGCTCAGATGAGAAGAACAACTGCTCTAAATCTAATAAATACTCAAATATTTACAATCATTGGAAGAAATAAAAAAAGCATAGAAAGTTTCAGTTTTGAAGCCATTTTCTCTACAAAGAAATTTGAATCTGGTTTCTCTGCAACCAAAGACAGTTCTTCATAAAATGTTTTCCGGGCTGTACAGCCCTGTTCCAGAAGCATTCTCTCCTGATGTTTCACCCACATCTATGGCAGGCATCCTCAGAGATTGTGAGGTCTGTTGGAAACTAGGAAAATTGGTTTTATGTATCTGTGGAAAGTCAATGGTGGGAGAAAGAACTCTTGTCTGTTGGAGGTAGGTGATAATGTTTCATATTATTTGAGAACACAGAAATGTGGACCACTCTTAACAGCTAAAATGTCAGGTTACACAGAGAAGCCATTGAAATCTACAAACGTGTGGACAATTTCAATAGAAAGGAAGAAACTATGAAAATAAGACAAAATCTAGCTTCTTTCTCCCAGTCTGGACATTCCCAAATATATAAACCCCATTTTCCTAGTTTCCAACAGACCTCACAACCTCTGAGGATGCTTGACATAGATGCAGGTGAAATGTCAAGAGAGAATGCTTCTGGAACAGGGCCTTACAGCCGGAAAACTCACAACAAACCAGTGATTCTGGCCATGAAAATCTATGACAATACATCTTCATAAAACGTTTGGCAGGAGTTTTCTTGTAAAGTATTCTCTAGAAAAATTAAAAAGAATTTCCTACACAACAAGATTAGATATACGAATAGATACAAAGGTTATTAAAACCCACAAGTCTTATCAAAGGACACCGTGGGGTTATTTATCCAAGGCACAAACCTGCACCAAACTGTGAACCCCCCCCCCCCAAAAAAAACCAGGGACTTTAATTATTTTTTTTAGCATTTTAAGATATTTGTTAAAGAATAAGGTGTGTTAATTTCTTGAAATACAAGAGAGCTTGGGTTTGGGCCACACAGTGCCAATATCTTGCCCTTCACTGTTTATGTTATAATTCACAGAATTTTTTAAAAATACTTCTTCAGCTTTCAATAAGTTTGCCTGAAGCCATGGCAGCAAGCGAACTGCTCATCCATGCTAAGGGTTAGCACATATATGTATGTGTACACATCTCAAGGCACTGGGCCAGCCAAGCCTTATTTTTGGGGAGAGGGGAGAAAACGTTTAGGGAAAATAACTATAATACATCTTTCCTCCATGGAGTCTTGACAGTCTTACAACTTCATCACATTAGGGAATTAATCCACTTTAAATCCGATTTCTGCTTCCTGCGGAATTCTGGGGTTTGTAGTTTAGTGAGGCTCTTAAAAGCTCCTCCCTAAACTACAAACCCCAAAACTCTGCACAAGGCAGGAACTGGATCTTAAGTGGATTCATTCTCTAGTGTGATGAGGTGCTCGCTATACCTTTCCAGAACAGCACTTCCTTCTCCTCAGCCCATGCTCTCCACAGATAAGAAGCCAATGATAAAGCCAGGGTATCCCAAAGAATCATAACATCACAGAGTTGAAAAGGACCACGAGGGCCATCCAGTCCAACAGCATCTGTACAAAAGAAAAGGGGAGTCCTCCAGCTTCAGTTACAGGCAGGAGTCCCTTTCAATCCTTCCTACTGTGATAATACTAGACAATAATAGAACATTACACTAAGAGAAGTTGAAGTCAGAGTGCTCCGAATACAGAAGCCTTGGCAAAAAAATCACTCTAATTCGAAATTGCACTTTGGTTAGTTGTGCAAGCTGTCATCTGGTCACAAATAGCATGCTAACAAGCATCTTGTTGGGTGAGTTAGGTAACCAACGTGAGCCAATGTGGCCTCAAAGAGACTCGCTAATATTTGCACTGGAAATCCCAGGGTGCCAATCCAAGTTTACTTGCAAATTTCCAACTAGAAAAAGCAAATTTATCTTTCATTATTAGATACTGAAATTTTGTAGTTCAAATTTGGAGGCTTTCTATGCAGCCCACCATCTTGTGGCCACCTCAATTACAATAGAGTCTTGCTTATTCAACCTTCACTCATCCAATGTTCTGTATTATCCAACACGGTCTGCCTCCCACCTGGAATAATGTCCAGGATGGGAGAAAGAAAGAATCCTTGTCTGTTTTTGGTGCTAAATACAGTAATTTGTACATAACGTTACCATGTATTGAATTGTTTTTTCTGTCGATTTGTTGTAAAACATGATGTTTTGGTGCTTAATTTGTAAAATCATAATCTTATTTGACGTTTAATAGGCTTTTCCTCAATCCCTCCTTATTATCCAACATTTTTGTTAATCCAACACTGCCAGCCCATTTATGTTGGATAAGCAAGACTCTACTGTATCATGTAAAACACTATTTCTGTTTAAAATACTTTCCCAAAAACCATTCTGATTTATTCATCCTCACTTATGGAGGCAGAATAGAACACTGTATTGCTGTATTATACTGTATTCACTTACCACGAGAAGTCCCTATTGCACAATATCAATTTGAGCAATATTGTTTTGGCTGCGAAAACCCCTTTTCTTGCCTTTTTCAATTAACTAGTCTTTTGTGAACAAGAAGCAAATATACAGGCCAAATTCCTTTTAGCAATACTTCTGCTTGAAATTAAAGAAACAAAACAAATTTTGAAGGAAAAAAAATGAAGTTGTTAACCAAAGCTAAGAAAAGGAGATGAAAACAATATTCCTCCAAAGCTATCAAGGTCATATTTGTGTTGGTGCACTGTAATCATTTAAGCTTCCAGGGGAACTATCTCCCCAATGTGTTTAAAGTAATATAACCAATGCTTCCCTGCTGGGTCTGGAACAAGAATCACAAGAGGAAATTGGTTTTGCAATAGTTGAGACCACCTCTGCATGCAGAACTTAGGCAGAGGTAAATGTATCTCCAAAAGTCTGGCAAAGTTATGCTTGGGCCAGAATTTCCCAGCCAACATGGCCTTTGGCCATACGCTTGAGAGATTCTGGGACCCATGCCCCCCAATACTTTTCCAAAGATGATCAATGCTTAGCACCTGTCTATAAACCAGGGTGCTGAAGGGAATGTATCTTTTCTTTTTTGTCTCAATGAGATGGTCAGCTAGACACAAAAGCATTGATTCTGGGCAACTCAAAGATGCATAAACATTTCTCATGCTCAGATGTTTCTTCTAATCTCCCTCCCTATACTGGCAGAAAAATGGTCCACTTGTCCCTGGCAGGTCCTGGAGGCCAGCATATATATCAGTCATAGGGAAATTTCGACCCTCCAGGTGTTTTGGACTTCAACTCCCACAATTCCTAACAGCCGGGAGAACTCATAACTGTGAGAGCTGTTCAGCAGTGGAACTCTCTGCCCTGGAGTGTGGTGGAGGCTCCTTCTTTGGAGGCTTTTAAGCAGAGGCTGGATGGCCATCTGTCGGGGGTGCTTTGAATGTGATTTTCCTGCTTCTTGACAGGGGTGTTAGACTGGATGGCCCACAAAGTCTCTTCCAACTATGATTCTATGAAAGAGTTAAAAGTCCAAAACACCTGGAGATCCAAACTTTGTCCATGCCTGATATATATTATGATACAGAGATGCTTCAATATTGTGTAACTCTGAAAACTATATACTGTTTTTCACTGAATCTAAGGCACCATCAAATGTAGGGTGCACCCTGTTTTTGAAGCCCTTTAAATTGAAAAAAGTGCACCTTAGACTCGACGAAATATGGTAATAGTTCTCTGAATCACTTCTGAACAGATTAAGGGGGGGGGGGACATCTGCTTTTCGAACCTGACATCGTTTTCAGTGGTGTGGGTAAAACCAGAAATAGATTTGGAAATTGTTTCCTATACAATTAGAATGAACCACTGTTGTATGCAGTCTCTCCCTCATGATCAATGGACAGGAAAACATGACATGGGCAGAGTACAATAAGGGACACTTCAATGCACAGAAACTTTGAAATGAATAAACACTTCCAGGAAGCTCCTCTTAAACCTTCTCCCATTCAAAACTTTAAAAAAATCGATAATGAACCATTTTACCATAATGTGGTGCAGCACAGGTTAACGGCTTGTTTTTATGGTTTTCCTCTAATAGATTTTTCATTTCTGCCCCTCCGCTCCCCAAAAGAATAATCAATTACATTAGCTTTTGCTACAATCCATGTGTGACATTTGGGAAAGTTCATTTTTGGACTTGAATCCAAGAACCTCCATGCTGGCTTGAGAAATTCTGGAAACTATAACCTAAATCAGTATTTTCTAAGTTCTGATCTTTTTCCTCATTCCTGTATTACTGGCAGAGAAAGGAGACGGGACTGGAAATCATCTACATGGGGATCTTTCTCCAATTAACAATAGCAGCTCATTTGAAAAGGACAGGAAAGACATTTGAGGAAAGCTTAGTATACTGTACTCAGTCTTTTTGGTAGGAAATCTAAACTTTCTGTGCATTCTTATTTACTGCATCCCAATCCAGTTAGTTCAAGAATCCCCAATCCTTACCTCTCCCTTCTATCTGGCTTGCAAAAACAAACTGCAGGAAAAGGGATCCCACCTAAACAATAAGAAGAACTTTCTGACAGCAAGAACAGTTTGACAGTGGACTATGCTGTCCTGGAGCATGGTGGAGTCCCCTTTTCTGTAGGTTTTTAAGAAGAGGCTGCATGGCCATCAGTTGGGAGTGCTTTGACTGTGTGTTCCTGTGAAGCAGAATGGGGTTAGAGTGAATGGCCCTTGTGGTCTCTTCCAACTCTAGGATTATTTGCTTATTTAATTTCTTAAACTCATATAATTCACCTGTTTGCAGTGAGTTAGCCTTGGTTCAAAATGCTGCTTTTTTTTCTCAGTTTAGCACATAAACAAATAGTCTTGATTTCCCTAAATACTGTTTAAGGGCCTTCATCAAATAGGCAGATTGTAACACACTGTCTGCACAGTACTGTGTCCTTCCTTATCCCTTGGAGTCCTGCTACTATTTGGAGAAGCGGAGATGAAACAGGAGATGAAGCAACAGCTCATCTCTGCTCAAGGAGAAGTAGATAGGTGGATGCACTCATGGATGGAGTGCAACCTTCTTTTAGTTCCCCAATAACTGTCTCCACTGTTCTCTTCTCCCCCCAAAAGTAAACACAGTGGCCTCTCATGGGTCTCAACAGAAGGTTGGGGGTTCCTAGAGGGAGAAAGCTCTTGAAGAAAATAGCCACACCCAAAAAGTAAATAACACTGTCATGTGTGCATGTCACTAATGTGATCCTGTTAATTCATACTGGGTAATGAGCCAATTACATATTCCACTCATGTGAAACTGGTGCTCTCAAACCGGGAAAATAATCATCTTAAGATTTATCAACTGGAAGATTTTGCCCTTGGCTTAGTCTTTTGGCATTTTGACTCTGATCAAATTGAACACTGTGCTGTTGTTGACTCCAAACTCACACAGCGAGTCAGTAGTCCGTATACATTCCACATTATGGTTGTGAGGTCATCTTATCTCTTTTGCAAACTTTCAGGAAAAAAGGCAGCAATAATATAATCCAGAATGGTTAAAAAGCAAAGACACGAAAACAGGATTTCAAGAACAGTAAAGGAAGAGCAGAGTGAAGATCAAAACAGTGCCTGGAATTATGCAGTAGGACCCTGTTGCTGTAACAACATGGGGCAATATTGCACAGATGTAGGAACTGCTTTCATCCACATGCAATGACTTATTGCTACATTGCTCCCCCATCTTCCCCACCTCAGGATATGTTACAGAATATACATGTTTTGTCTATACAAAGAATGTAAGAAGACAATTGTAAAAGGCAACCTGGTGTCATTATTTGGACCATTAAATCTTTCACAGTTTAATCTCAACTTTCAAAGCAAATTCAAGATATCTCCTTCTGGGCTGCAAGAGGCAGAAGTTTTATACAATGGGAAATCCAATCCGGTGCTTACGCAGCAGACGCCTGTTCCATTTTTGCAAGCCTTTTCTGTGCGTAAGTCATGCAGGGGCAGCAGTAGAATTTTATTTATTTTCAGAGTTGACACAAGGGTCAGTTCAAACCTTTCCATCTTGCCCTTGGTGACCATGCACTCTTGTGGAGGTAAATACTCCGGAAGGAATGGAGGATCTGTCACCAGAGTCTTGCCTTTCACTGTTGGAAAGAATTTTCTTTTAAAAGCTATACAGTAAATCCTCAATATAAAATCAAGGCAGCTTCACAAAGTAGCTGGCTCAGTCAATTCCACTGCAGGTTCTAAGAACAGTCTAAAAATTGATCTGTTTTCTTGAAAGCTTTAAGTTGCGTTGTTTTCAAAATGTTCCAACGACAAAATGTCAGCTTCCTTCGCAAATGAATTCCCATTTCCAAAAAGTAGTCCTTCTCCAAAAATCCATCAAGTTCTGTTTACAAGAAACTTCCATTTTAAAAACCTGCTTTAAAAAAAGGAAAGGTCCAAATGCCAAGTTTCAGAGTCCTTTTTTCTCTCTGTCCTGAAAGTCCCTTAAAATCAGGAAGGGTCTGTTAAATGTATCCGGAGACACAATTCACGGTTACTGCTCCTGAAAATGAGTAAAGAATCCCAGCAGCCTCTTGAAGCATTAGTCACTGCATTCTCCAAATGAAGCGGACAATGTAATGTAACAGGCGCAAAATTATGATCTGATGGTTTACTGCTTGGTAATCCAAGAAACCCTGTAAGAGGAAATGAGAGGTTATTTTAACTCGTGAAACCTTCCGGTCTGACAGCAATAATTACCAAATTTATTGGAATAACTGTGCCAGCACATAAGCATGTATAGTATAAAACTGCAACAGCTGCACCAAATAATGTACAGTAGCATTGTTACGCTGGCAGTGCAGCACAGGGGGTCATGTTGCATCGATTACACACTGAGTTCGTAACACAAATTGCAGCTACCTCTAAAGGTGGTACAAAACACCTGGCCACAAACCAGTTTGTGTGTTGCAATCCTATCCTGTTTGGATATCAGCCAGCACGCCAATGCCTTAAATCAAGAAACAATTTTCTAAGATCTAAGAGGTACAGAAATATCTCAGCAAGTGTGAGTCCAAAAGTGGCAGGCTAAACCTCAGAACCCCAATCCATGGCTGATACCAAATGAGAGACTCCCTTCTAGGCACACAGAAGACTGGGCAACTTGGAAGGTGCTCAACAGACTGCGCTCTGGCACCACAAGATGCAGAGCCAACCTTAAGAAATGTGGCCACAAAGGAGTCTACAACATGCGAGTGTGGAGAAGAGCAAACCACAGACCACCTATCACAATGCAACCTGAGCCCTGCCACATGCACAATGGAGGACCTTCTTATAGCAACATCAGAGGCACTCCCAAGTGGCCAGCTACTGGTCAAAGGACATTTAATATAATGCCAAGTTTTTAAACTTTGTGTTTTCTTAAAAACATTACAACTGTACCCTTGGTTCATTCCTGATACAATAGATAAAACCACAAACCAGTTTGTGTGCTGCAATCCTATCATAACAACGGATGTTTTATATTTGGACAATACAGCATATGTAAGCTGTAGACACACAAAAACAAAACTTTAACAAAATTGGGAAGTTATTAAAGATTGTGGTGAAGATTAGCTTCTGTCTCTAAATAGATGATTGCTAGATAGCTTCGTGTTGTTTCCCTTTCTTAAGGAAAAAGAAAAAAAATCAGCAAGAAGATGTACCCTCTCAAAACCTTGAGTCTCCTTTTCCCTTCCAGTTATTCTTCCCCTAGCAGCAGGATTTCAGTTTTCTCAAAATATGACTAGATTGGATATGAGTGTAGCAACTGCCTGCCTTCCACTTCAGCCCACACAAAAACCACCACCCCACACTCAATTTGCACAGCTTTTTACTCTGCAACATCTACAAATACAAAACAATGCAAATGGATTATCTTGTATAAGTCTACATAGAATATTTCTTGCTAAACTAGATAATAATAATAATAATAATAATAATAATAATAATAATAACAACAACAACAACTATGATCTTTATTTATATCCCGCCACCATCTTCCTGAAGGGACTCAGGGCAGCTTACAAAGACATTCCAAGTTATCATGTATGAACAAAACTTTTTACTGACTTAATCTAGTAATATCCATTTACCTAATTTTGGTAACCGTTATAATACCCTGGTGGCGCAGCACTGAGCTGCTGAACTTGCTGACTGAAAGGCTGGTGGTTCGAATCTGGGAAGTGGGGTGAGCTCCTGCTGTTAGCCCCAGCTTCTGCCAACCTACCAGTTCGAAAACATGCAAATATGAATAGATCAATAGGTACCGCTTTGGCGGGAAGGTAACAGTGCTCCATGCAGTCATAATAGCCACATGACCTTGGAGGCGTCTAGAGACAACGCTGACTCGAATAGACTTAATGTCAAGGGGAAACCTTTACCCCCACTGCACCTTCATACGCAGATAAATCAACAATTGAAAATGAAGTTTCCGAACAGAAATTTCTCCATGATTTCTCTGGCTCTTCGACTTAGAAATGGAGATGAGCACCACCCTCCCAGAGTCAAAGATGACTAGACTTAATGACAGGGAAAACCTTTTTATAATATTACTGTGAATCTCATACATCTGTCCTAAACACATCTTTTCACAAAGAGGGATGTGTGTCCAAGTCATATAGAAGAAAAGATAACACATTATCTTAACATTAAGTGAAACTATTTGTAAACACCCAGCAGATTATGAAAAAACTTCTTCATGAGTGTGATCTTTGCCTTCTAATCTCTTTTTCCAATTTCAATTCCATTTTCATCTTCAACCACTCATAATTACTGTGGTTAGCAACCAAAGTCACATAGATAGATATGCTCAGATCCTTACAGATAGCAACAGCCTATCATGAAATCATATAAAGGAAGGGTGCCTCACTCTCCTATTCTGGGATGACTCCCAAATTCAGACTATGGGCACGGAAATTTATAAGGGACAGAGAGCCTGATAAAACAAACATAAATGAATAAAGATTGTGCAAACAGATCTCTCTAATTCCCCCATGTTATATGTAGAGATGTTATGGGATTCTGCTTCTGGCTCAATGCAAAACCTGTTCTCACGAACAGACTCAGAAGTGGGGTAGGCAGATCAAAAGACAAACTGGTGAAATGGCACTACCTAAAAGAATCCTCCACCTAGTGCGACTGTGGAGCAGAACCGACTACTCCACATGCTTGTCCGCAATGCCCTGCCTCATGTACAGAGGAAGAATCATAGAATTATAGAGTTGGAAGAGACCTCATGGGCCATCCAGTCCAACTCCCTGCCAAGAAGCAGGAAATCAAATTCAAAGCACCCCCACAACAGATGGCCATCCAGCCTCTGTTTAAAAGCTTCCAAAGAAGGAGTCTCCACCACACTCCAGGGCAGAGAGTTCCACTGCTGAGCAGCTCTCACCGTTAGGAAGTTCTTCCTGATGTTCAGATGGAATCTCCTTTCTTGTAGTTTAAAGCCATTGCTCCATTGCGTCCTAGTCTCCAGGGAAGCAGAAAACAAGCTTGCTCCCTCCTCCCTATGACTTCCTCTCACATATTTATACATGGCTATCATGTCTCCTCTCAGCCTTCTCTTCTTCAGGCTAAACATGGCCAGCTATTTAAGCCGCTCGTCTCTCGCTTGCTGAGGTGTTCCTGCAAGTATCTCTGTAGATCTTAGAAAACTTCAAGGCATTGACATGCTGGCAAGTTGTTTGGAGGCTACAGACAATGCAGTTGCTGTTGCCCGTTTTTGGTCAAAAGATATTTAGCTGCTTGCGCTTCTTCTATTTTTATCAGTTTTATACTAATTTATGCAATGCTTTTGATACGAAATAAATAAATGAAAAGCTCACTCCTTCTTCATCAAGGGAACCAACTTGCCTACAGTAGTCTGGCTCATATTTCATTTCTGCATGCTGGTAACCAGAAGTAAAGAAATCCTTCTTCTCTGAGAAAATTCAGACATTGCTAACACAGCGTCTGAAGCAATTGTCGCTAAATTTAATCTAGCTCCACACTGCTTAATTCACTGCCACTAAACTTAATGTGAGGTTTGTTATAAGAAACAAATGATATATAATTTATGAGATCTGGTAGCGCACACAGAAGAGGGAAAATAGAAGAAGCCAAAAACAAGATGGTATTCTCAGAGTATAATTGTGTCATTGTCTAAATTGTTGACTCTCAAAAAATGTTAGAGATTCCCGAAGGATGAAATCTGGTAGCTATAATTTATCTGAGAAACCAGTGATTTGGTTTAGCTTGTGCCAAGAACCTAAATAAAGCTATAGGCAATCTGCGCCAGAGTTAATGAACTAGTGAACCTCTAAATTATTCTCAAGTGACTCCACCTGTGTAAACACCCACTGGTTCAAGTTTGGGTATAAATATATGCAGGCAGATATATTGGGGGGGGGGGCACAGCCATGTAACACGAAACATGGCAGGCACATATTAATAAGCTGACTGTGGCTCAACCTTAGGCAAGTCTCCAATGCTAAAGGAAAATAGGTGCTCAATTAGATACACATACTATTTTGTTTTAATTTTCTGATTTGGAGAACATGGTTTCCTCACATACTACATTTCTATGTAATGCAATGTTCTACACAGGTACCCAAACATGCCATGGGTGTTTGAGAAGCCATATGTGTTGATACACAAGAAAAAGAAACACAATAAAATAATCAACAAATAATAAAACACTAAAATCCCGTTTAAAAACATTTGTTAAACAATCAAGCAATAGAGTTAACAATCTGGAAAATGATTAGAACAATGTATGTGCAAATAGTGCAAATGTTGCAAACAAAGACTAATACTGTGATAACTTAAAACGATCAAGCAGGGAGGTTTGAAATGGTTGAACAGAAGCTCTCTGAGGCTTTAGGTGCTCTTACTGCCTATTTCAGGGGAAAACAGCTGATTCCTAATCCATCTAAAACACAGACATGTGCTTTTCATCTTAAGAACAGACAAGCATCTCGAGCTCTGAGGATTACCTGGGAAGGAATCCCAATGGAGCATTGCAGCACAACCAAATACCTGGGAATCACTCTGGACCGTGCTCTGACTTACAAGAAGCACTACTTGAATATCAAGCAAGAAGTGGGTGCTAGAAACAATATTTTACAAAAGCTGACTGGCACAACCTGGGGATCACAACCAGGCATCGTGAAGACATCTGCCCTTGCACTTTGCTACTCTGCTGCTCAATACACATGCCTGGTGTGGAACACATATCACCACATTAAAACAGTGGATGTCGCTCTTAATGAGACAAGCCACATTATCACAGGATGTCTGCGCCCTATACCATTGTAGAAATTATATTGTTTAGACGGTATTGCACCACCTGACATCTGTTGGGAAGTAGCAGCTAGTAATGAAAGGACCAAGGCAGTGACATAACTGGCCCATCCCCTGTTCAGATATCAGCCAGCACACCAATGCCTTGAATTAAGAAATATTTTTCTAAGATCTACAGAGATACTTGCAGGGACACTTCAGCAAGCAAGAGTCCAAAATTGGCAGGCTAAAAATCTGAAACCTCAACCCATGGCTGATACCGGATGAGAGACTCCCCCCGGACACAGAAAACTGGGTGACTTGGAAAATGCTGATCAGACTGTGCTTTGGCAGCATGAGATGAAGAACCAACCTTAGTAAATGAGGCTACAAAATG